GTAGCTCGTTTCTGTCTGTACCAACCAATGCATTGAGACACGGAAGGGCATTCACCAACTAAGTTGTTTGAATGCATGCTGCATGCTCTTACATGCAGGGAATCCATTGTCTAGTGAAAGTACCCGGTGGCTGGTGTACGCCGACAGGGCAAGTGTATACAAGGTATGTGACTGGACAGACAGATAGATGCACACACTACCGAATCCCCGTGTGCCATACATACACCACACAATAAATGTCATCATGCAGAGACATTTAGCTACACACACCAGCCATCGGTCAGTCTACCTGTCAATTGCTGCGCTGGGCTGCACGCATGTGAAAGTGTGTTGGGGCATAATGGCCGGTCAGGGAGCGTCCCGATGGGGGAGTGATGGATGGGGTGGCGTGAGTGGGCATGGCCGGCCGGATGTGCTGCTGGGGTGTCAGCACCTTCACCCCTTTGTCCGTCTCAATCACATCCACCCAGCAGTGATACACAGGCGTCCCGAGTGACCCGTAGAACCGTGCCAGCTCGGGGGTCACCGGCTGCAGAAAGTGAGGCTGCATCAACACACACACTCCAGGAAACATACACGTGGAAGACGAGCTCCCTCCCTCTCCTCACCCCCAAGAGCGTTTGGTCGACATGGAACAGACGAAAGGGACGCGGAGACACCCCATCGTTTGGTGGATGCACCTCTCCCAGTGTTATTTGAGGGCCGCCTTTGCCGCGAGTGGCGCCGGCCGGGAGTCCGACGGTCAGCGGGCCTCAACCAACGATTTGCGAAGGGGGCTGAGGCAAGGGAGGGCGAAGGGCGGCGTTGTGGGGATGCATAACACTGGAGGCGGAAACAGAGTGCACGATGGCTCGTACTCGATTTTTGAGATCGGAAGCGCAGGAGCTGCGATTTCGCTAGTGCAACTCCGACTTCAAACGCCTCAAACCTCAAAATTTGAGATTGGCGAGCTCACAGTCTCGAGAAAAGAGGCAGCTTGAAAGATGTCTGCGTTTATGAAGCTTACTCTGATGCTCGTGGATGAGCACCACTTCGTGGTACGCCTGTCAGTGAGAGTGACAAGCACACACACATCCACTCCACCGCTCTGTCTGCTGCCACGCACAGACACACACACACACACACACAGCACCAAGCACAGTGCTCACACACCACAGCCACATGGATCCCCTTCTCCCCCTCTCTCCTCCCGCCCGCCTGTGTGTGTCTGCTGCTTTATGTCGGTCGGTTGATGCAGGTCATCAAGGAGATGAGGGACCGCGGCCAACCAGAGGAAGTGCCCCAGGCCGTCCGCACATTCCTGCAGGCAATCAAGGCGAAGCCAACGCACGCCACACACACCACCCGCAGACACTGCGTGTGTGTGTGTGTGTGTCGCTTCCTTTCAGACCTTGAACCCTCTTGGTATGCGGAATGGCCGTCAACTTTTCCCACTGAATCGCGCCTGGGATATCGTCACTAAGCTGGTCAACGCATCCGTAAGCCACCCATACACAGAGAGGGAGGGCGGCTGGCATTTCCACCTGCAGTCCGCCTCTCCTTGTGTGTGCGCCAGGCACTTCGGTGCACCGTGACGTCCATTCCCGACTTTGTGACGAAAACCCTCGAAGCGAAACCGGTAAGGGCGGCGCGGAAGGAAGCATGAGCTCTCTGTGTGTGTTGAATGAGTGGGCACACAGCAACTCTCTCTCTCCCTCTCTCTCTTGTCAGGTGGCGCCAAGCCCATCGGAGGTCAACAACTTCCTGGCTGGCCTGCCACAGCCGCTGCGGGGCGACATGAGGCCGTTCCAGGTGTTTCCTGGGTGTGTGTCGATAACGACAGGTGCGAGTGCATGTGTGTGTGTGTGTGTCTGCGTCGGTGTGTGTGCAGCGTGAGGGCATCCTTTTTGGTCTGCGGCGGGGCGGGCGCGTGCTGATTGGGGACGAGATGGTACGGTACATTCTCGCGCACACACAGAGAGAGAGAGGGGTCATTCACAAGGTGCATGTGTGGGTGGCTGTGTGCAGGGGCTGGGGAAGACGCTGCAGGCCCTGGTGCTAGCCGCCTTCTACTCCAACGAATGGCCCGTGCTGGTCGTCTGCCCCTCAGCAATGTGATATGCGCACAGCCAGCCAGCCAGCCAGCCAGCCAGAACAGACGAGGGCACCTCCTGATATCTGTGTGTGTGCGTGTGCGACCTTTCAGTCGTTTCCAGTGGCGCGACCAGGCGAAGATGTGGCTGCACAATCTGGTGGACGAGAACAAGGTGTGCGTCATCAAGACGGGCAAGTGCAAGGTGCCCTCCGAGGCCAGGATTGTCATCGTATCTTACACCCTGCTGGCGATGAAGAACAACGAGCGGTTCCGCAGGACGTCCAACGACCGGCCATACCAGGTGGTGGTCGCTGATGAGAGCCACTACATCAAGTGGGTTTGTCAGCTACACAGCACAACACACACGCAGCTGCCTGACTGTGTTGTGTTGTGTTGTGTGTGTCCGCAGGTCGTGGAAGGCGCAGCGGACCAAAGTGGTCCGGAAAACACAGAGCACACACACCCAACACGAAGGAGAAAACGTCTCACCATGGACGTGTGTGTGTGTGTGTGTGCGTGTGTGTCACTCGGATTGGTCTTGGTCGGTCGGTCGGTCAGATGGTGCCGATCCTGAAGGATGCGAAGCGCTGCATCCTCCTCTCCGGCACAGCAATGCTCAGCCAACCAGACGAGCTCTTCCCGCAGATCGACGCCGTGCTCTTCCCAGCCCACGGGGCACTGGTCGGTCAGATAGACACTTACTTAGAAAGATCAGATCCACCTCGTGGGCTCGATGTTGCGGTGCAGAGTTACAATGGGCAGTATTGGAACCACTCGAAGTTTGAGAATCGTTATTGCGTCATGGAGGAGAACCCTTTCGCGCCGGTGCGGGTCATGCGCTGTACGGGAGCGAAACACGACACCGAATTGCATGCCTGGCTGACCAGCAGAGTGCGTGTCCACACACTCACACACACACACACACACAGAGAGAGAGAGAGAGAGAGAAACAAACGACAGACAGCTTGCTTGGTGGGCAGGCAAGTGTTCGTGTCTGTCTGCAGGTGATGGTCCGCCGCCTCAAGAAGGACGTGCAGAAGGACCTCCCCCCCAAGATCAAGACAGATGTGCCAATCGAGGTGCGCCGGCCGGGGAGGGAGACGGTCACCTCCACACCCCCTCTCTCTCTCTCTGGGTGTGTGTGTGTCACAGGGCGAGAAGAGGCTGTGCAGCCAAATCACGGCCAGCCTTGAGAGGGAGCGGTTGACGGAGATGGACGACGACGAGCTCATCGACCACTTCAAGCGGCACGACCCCACCATCACCAACGCCTACACCGCCACGGCAGAGGCCAAGCAGAAGGCCGTGTGGGAGTACATCGACTACCTTTACGACAGCATCGACCACAAGTTCTTGGTCTTTGCGCACCACAAGAAGCTGATCGACTTCCTCGTCGACAAGTTCGAGAAGAAGTTCAAACCGGTGTGTGTGTGTGTGTGTGTGTGCA